AACTAACATTTATAGATGTAGTTCATACTTAGAGTGTGGATCTTTGCTTTCTTTTTATTGTTAATTTGTGTGATTAGAATCATGCCACAGTCATGAGGAAGTAACGCCAACCCTTTTTGTTTGATTTGAAATTATTTCTCAAGTTTGTAATACTGCATTCATCAACCAGTGTCTGTGAAAAAAACGGCTCAACCAGTGGGTGCACCATATTATGCAATCTTAACGTTCAAAAAGGTTGGTGCGGGTCCAGCAGGAAACAGAATAAATGTTTAATGGGTCTGAATCCCAGACTTTAGCGGATTATCGTTATCTAAACTCTGAACGGATGCCTTTTTAACTGAATCAACAATGAGTGGCGTTTATCTCAGCGACCCAATCCAGATTCTTTATCGCATTTAAGTGTAAAGAGCAGAATAAAGAAGGATGACGTTAAAGATGGACGGATGTGACAGAGGATCTAATAAAACTGAAGAGCCTGTGCAAATAGAAAAAAAAGCAGCGTCTCTGACATAAATTTCTATGTTTTATATCAAATAATGATATTCTGATATGTTTTTGGAGGAGGGGAGGTACTTTTACCTAAAAGGTCACCTCAATCTCAGGAGGCCACAGCAGCTCTGCAAGAAGATCATCGCTCCTTCAGGAAGACATTTCTGCATAGATGCATGTTTGTGCTTTTCTTTTTAATATGACAGCTGCTCTTTAGGGGAAGGCCCAGTGACACGCGTGAAAGGTTGAGTGATGCTGATTCCTGTCAAAAAGGCTGCAAACGGTTAGCCTGCGGTGACAGCCATCAATGGAGGATGACATCAAAGTACGTTTTTCTGCAGGGCAGAGCCAAGCCTGCGGTTCTACCGTCTGATCCACACAAAGGTTCAGGTTGGATTATGACGCTTGTTGTTTCATCCCGAACAACAAGGGTCAACATTAGCCTCTTCTGGGCAGCTTTAGGGTTTGAATTTTCAGCATTGAATGTGCAGAGAAGAAGGAGAGCAGCAGTAAGGAGAATTTCCCTAGAAAAAAAAAACATTTACATCTAAAAGAATGGGATGTTTTTGGTAAAAATGTCTGGAAATATCGCCAAACTATCCAGAAACCAGGCTATTTATTCCCTGAACAAAAGAAGAGAAATAAAAAATAAAAATCATCCAATTGTCTTTGAAAAACACCTGGTTTTCCTTTAACATAGTAAAAATATAAGCTACACCCCATCAGAGGAAACTACCACAACCAACCTTTGTCTTTGAAACAGTGAGGTTAACATCCCCCCCAGCAGCAGCACGTATTTCCCTTTGATGGCAACACCTGCTCATCCAGGAACATAACTGCTCCAGTTGTCTGGTACATCACAGTAACTCAGAACATTTCTGTGCCGTGGTTCAGCATGATGAGCCGTTTACGCTGTCTGGCCTGTTAAAGGACCGAGTTCTGGCTTTTGTTTTGGTCTCTGGTTTAATCTGTGACCTGAACGCAGCCGTCTTTAGCAGGATGCTCATTGGCTGACATCTGGGATGGTCTGATCCTGCTTTCTTCTACAGACCCTATGTGACCGCCAACTAAGTCAGCTGACTTAGTGTTTATTTTGCAAATCAATTAATCCGTCGATTATTATTTTTCAATTAACAGATTAACAATCGGATAGCCGACGGTTCCTTAAAGAAGAATTTTTACAAAATGTAACCAGGTCAAACAAACTTTTCCTCTTGAGGAGTTCTGGACAGAGCATATATTAACATACCATTTTTTTTTTAAGATATATTTATTTTTTACAATTGTGGTATAATTACTGCTCTAAGTGGGTTCCTCTGTCAGCTCAAGGCATGGTTTACAGCAGAGGTCACGGATTAGCGGACCGTTGTCTGGACCCACCTGCTGTTTAATCCAGACCCAACCTGATTTAAAACATTTATAAATTACTGCATGTTGTCTGACGCCAATGTCTAATTTCACTTGCGCCGTTTCGCTTGTTTGTACGGTAAAGCCCTCCGGAGTGTCCGGGACCAGGCTACACGTGATACAAATTAGCCAATGAGCTGCTGTCAGTCTGGGCTGCTGCTGCTGCTACTTTTAGACACAGAAGGAAACCTGCGGCAAGCTGGGCGATGGGAAAGAAGGAGAAGACGATGAGGAAAAAAAAGAGAAAGAAAGTGTGGACTGCTAGAAGACGCACTGTGAACTGGTGACAGAAAAGTGAAATGGCGTGCTTAAAGATGGCCCTGCACATTTAGAGGATGTTTGGCTCAACCTGCTGCTGTGAAGCAGGATTCTTCACCATGAACAGAATCAAAAATAAATATCAATCCAGGCTCAAAATGAGCACCTTAATATGTGCTTAAGAATGGCTTTGTCTCCATTCAAACCAGGTTTAAAGCCATTAAGGGCAGCATAAAGCCCACTGCTCTCATTTAGGCAAATAAATAAATAAATAAATAAACAAATATGTGAATCGGGAAATTGTCTATTTACCAAATTGACAGTTGTTGTTCTCTACTTAAAAAAACATTTAACTTTAAAATGTAAAAAAAAAAAAAAAAATCTAGTTTTTTATACTTTTTATTGAAATAAATCAATGTATAACATGGATGCATAAACACCTCATTTTATTTCAGTGTTAAATTCTGTTTAAAGTAACAGAATATAATTAAAAATGTCTCCAGACCTTTACTGGTTATTGATTTTCTTTATTCGGACCCCAGTGATTTTTAATTGGTTAGCCCCGTTTTAAAGTCTCTACACTCCAGTTGACAATCTATTACTAAATTAGTTGACAAATATTTTAATAATGGATTACTAACGATTAATCCGATTCATTGTTTCAGGCCTAGTTTCTATAATTGTGTCAGCTTGGAAGTGTGAGAATGTCAACATAAAGGTGCAAAGAAAAAATTAGAAGACAGCTGATTATAATGGCAAAAAGAAAATGGCTGGCCTGCGACAGCCGCTACCAGCACTGCCCCAGCCAGCGACCAAAATGTAGTTTCTGATGGAAAATAAATAAAGTGTTGGATCGATCGGCAAAAAGAGGAGACGTCCAATGGGAGGAAGTCGCTCTCCAAGAAGGCCCTTACTGTGGGTTAGCTAGGAGACCACCTACCACCACAGTTTCTTCTTCTCGTCTGAAGAAGAAATCTGAAAATGTGCATTATATAAGCTTTGATAACTGATATATAAAATGTATATAGTTGTCTCTCTCAAATAAATTACTAAATTTGATCATTTTCTTAAGATCAATAAAATCAGTCTGAAGCATAGAGATAAAAGCTTAGGTTTCAATCCTTAATCTATAACTCTGTGTTATCGTCTGCAGGACAATGAAAGGGAAACAACACGGCTGGATCTCAAAGAAAACCATCAACTAGTATCAGCCCAGGAAGGCCTGACCCACGGACCTCTAGTTTGTATCATCAGCCCAGACTTTCCATGATGCTACCGTTTTGCTAATGAGCCATGTGCGACGCTGAGCTCTCAGTCTGATGCGGTCTTTGTGGATCCAAACCACACAAACCCACCTTCCTTGGGAAAATGATCCATTTCTAATGAGGACATCACCATCAAACACGGGATTCCTCAGGAAGCCAAACATAAACCTGCAGACTTAACAGATAGCCTTAATTACTCTCAAAAATACTGAAACCCGCCTAGAGAGAGACAACACAGGATAATCAAAAACATTTCTCCTCTTTGTTTATATATTTTCTTATTCTTTGTGTATAAAAATGTGTAACACGTGTGACCACTGCCTTACATAACTCAGTAAACAACTTACTTATGAGGACATGTGATTTTTGTTTACACGGCCCGTTTCTCTTTTGCCAAAGCGGTGCAGCAGTAGGTGTGATCATCCACAGATGAGTCTCATTTGCTTCCACATACTCACAGCAACGACACACAGAGGTGCTGTTTTAAGGTTATCAAATCGCCACAAATTCAAACCCTGCAGCCGGTGAAGAGCTTCAGGGACACATGATGCCCGCTGCAGGAACGCTTGTGGTTCACCTCGCCCAGCAGACACTCGATGACATCACTACAAATCCTGGCATTTACCCAGAGACAACTACGGGGTTTTAAAGGACGGACAAGCAGGGATGAGAGCTCGGTCCGAAGGTCTCACCTTGAAGTTTCCTTTTATCGGCCATGGCTGATCACTAAGATGATGTCTTCATGCCGTCTTTCACTGCGGGGGAAAAATAAAGGGAGATATATTAACCAGGAGAAATACCTCATTTTATTTTCAAGGACATTTCTGTGAATGTAGGTTATTTCTCTGGCTTTTCGTTTCGTAAGCAGCAGTAAGTATAGTGTGTTGATATTAAAGCATCTTTTTGTGTAGCCTAACTGGTTCCACGGACTACAATCCTTCACCAAAACATACAACAAAACAGGAGAATCTACCATTAGAAGGATGAGATTTTTAAATAACGACGAGGATCTGACCTTTCACAGAGAGAACTGGTTTAATCAGAAGCTCTGGTTTGGATCTGGAACCACTTTGTTGGAAAAGTTCAACTGGAACCTTTAGATGAACTATCAAACTGACACCAATGTGGAAATAAAACAATAAAAGTTCCTCCAAGAAATTGAAAATCAAATGCTAAGAATCCACCAAACAACTTCCTCCTCCATGGAGAGGCGACACGTTAACCTGTGGGAATGAGTTGAGCTGAAGAGGCTCGTCTGCGCTGCCTGTGTCTCCATGCTGACTGGAGGATGAAAATGCAACGCTGCAGATTTTATATAGATACATCAGTCTAGCATTTACAGCACATCTAAAAAAAAGTCTAATAATCTTAAATGAGTTCCAGACAGCAGAGTGCAGCACTTGGCCAGCAACTAACAATTATTTTGCTAATCGATTAATCTGTTTATAATTCTTTTTAATGAATTGATTAATAATCAGATAGCAAAGGGCTCCTTTAAGAAGATTTTTTGACAGAATTAAACCAGGTGAAACTAAAAGTTTTCCACTTGTGTAGCTCTGGATATCGACAGATGAAAAAGCTTTTTTTATATCAAATACAAAAACTTTTTTTACAGTTCTGGTATAATTGCTCCTCTTAATGGATTTCTCTGCCAGCTAGATGCATGTTTTAAAGTCTGCATTCTCAATTCAATGATTAATAAATTGCTAAATTAATTGATGATTATTATAATTGATTAATCACTTAATTGTTTCAGCTCTAGACAGCCCATAACAATGAAAGGGTCAAAATATAATTTTTCACCTTCTTAGCAAATCTAAAACTAAAAGGTTTTGGTATGCATGTGTTCTGCACCATTGGTCTGACACCCTAAATTAAATCCTGTTCAATTTACCAAATACACAAGCAGAACCTACCAATTTATTGTTTTGCATATTGACATATGAGGGGAGAAATAATGAGTATAAGCAGACACAAACTATAACGAATCATTCCTGCATGGGAGTGGAAGCATTATGATGTGGGGATTGATTGATACCTCAGTGAGGACAGGAAAGTTGGTCAGATTTAATGGGGACCAAGAGGCCGACCCTGGAAACAAATATAAAACTTTTCAGCTACAGCTGGGCAATTTATGGGTGAAAAATCTAATCTCAGATTTTTCTCTACAAAATCTGATTAATCTTTTTTATTTTTCTCCCGTACATTTTTTCTAATAAAAAATGATAAATTCTATTCAATCATCAGCAAGGTGACTTCAAGCAGTAAAGCCTGCTTTGACACAATCATTCTTCACTACAAACAGTGAAAATACAACAAAAAAAAGGTTTGCAGCTGATTTATAAGTTAACAGGCAACATCTAAGAACAGAGCATGATGAACTGATGTCCCTCTGAGCTATGGAAGCCCAAATAGTGCATTGGTAAGAAAAAAAAAGAAGAAAAGTCTGATTTTCCAAAGGTTAAATCTTCATAAATAGAAAATTTGATTAATCGCTAAAACTGATTAACCTCCGAGCCCTCCTTTCAGCAGAAACATGCAGCCATAGCTGCAACTGGATGCATTAGATCAAAGCTGCAGATGTGTGAAGACCTGCAGCAGAAACTGCAACAAGAGACGCTTCTACAAGTTATTGACTGAGTGAGAATGAGAATGACTGCAGGTTAAATGGTTTAAACCTAATGTGAGAACATCTGTAAAGCGGGAAGCTTTTATCTTCACTCCTTTATGACACAAAGCTGCGATGTTCAATAACAAAAGAAAAACAACAGATAAATGAAACAAGCTTGCTGTTTTGATTTGACAAATTATTAGATGGTGCAGCGATAGATCCCCCCAGGATATATAGGCCTGATGGAGGCGTTAAGCTGACAGAAATAAGCATCTTTACATGCATCATCAGGGGTGATCATTACGGTTTAAAGTCCTTTGATGAGCAACAACTGTCCCATTAAAGAGCCACTTTCCTCTCTAAATCTGGAAGTTTGTGATTCATGCAGCAGCTGCAGAAATAGGATCTAAATGAACAGCTTCTCTGGAAGCCTGTCTTCAAGATTTCCATTCAGTCCATCAAGCAGAAGCAGGAGTCAGAATCCCAGACAGAATTAGACGTCAGTGGACTGGACACACATCCAACTAACTGGACAGACATCTTGAAAACCTAAAGCGTTTTCAACCATTTCACAGATTCTAACTAACAATACATGGAGATGAATGTTCCCAGAAGCAGCAGGTTATCAGATTCCATTAAAGGCTTCAATCAGGAAATTCATTTTCCTGTCCTGTTTTAAAATCTGCTCTTCAACATCCAGTCAGACACAGAGCAGCAGAAATATCCCCCTCGGCTCCATGATTCTGATTTAAGCCTCAAATCCATCGCTTTAAAACATCCGACACTTGGAGAAAGGAGCGAGGCAGCCTGCTGAAGGAGATACAATCTTTCATACTTAACAGAAATTTTCTGCCATCCGGGACCAATGAAGGAAGCCGCTAAAAGATATCTCAGAACGTAAAGAGTCTGTGCTTTTATGCTCTGTTCTCACTTCTGATAGGAGAGAGAACGAAATGAGGAATCAAGAAGAGGAATACATCGACATGTAATAGGAAGAAACATTGCATTGAACAAAAAACTTTCACAGAGGGAGCTGGTTTTAACAGCAGCTCTGGTTTAGATCTGGAACCATTTTGTTAGAAAAGTTCAACTAGAATCTTGAGATGAACTATTCAACTGACAACAATGATACCAAAGTGGAGATAAAGCAACAATAAAAGATCCTCCACGAAATTGAAAATTAAACACTAAGAATCTGCCAAACAACTTCCTCCTCCATGGAGAGGCGACATGTTAAGGTATGGGAAGGAGTTGAGCTGAAGTGGTTTGTCTGCCCTGATCTTCTATAGATATATCAGCCAAGCATTTACAGCACATCTAAAAAATTGTAATAATCTTAAATGACTTCCAGACAGCAGAGCGCAGCACTAAAGCTGCAACTAACAATTATTTTGCTAATCGATTAATCTTTTCAAAAGTTTTTTGATGGATCAATTAATAATCGGAAAGCAAAGGGTTCCTTGAATAAGATTTTTTGCAGAATTAAACCAGGTGAAACTAAGTTTTCCTGGATAAAACATATTGACAGACGAAAAAGGTTTTTTTTAATATCAAATGCAACACTTTTTTTTTTTTTATTCTGGTATAATTGCTGCTCTAAATGGATTGAACGTCAGCTAAAGGCAGGTTTTTTAAATCTGCATTCTCCATTTTGCAATTAATCAATTACTAAATAAATTGATGATTATTATAATTGATTAATCACTTCTTCCTCTAAGAAAAGACGACATATTGAACTGTGGGAATGATTTCAATGAAGAGCTAGGAGTTGCTAAAGTCCTGAGGTTTAAATGTTGTGAAAAAAACAAACAACAAGAAAACAACAGGATCCCGAAAAAAAAAAAAGACGTGGCGAAGAGTGAATGCAGGAAGAAAGTATCCCTGAGTCAGGCTGGGCGATAAACCCGATTTTTACCTTTACCGTCATTCATAAGTTAACCGGCGACAATTTTTACGATATCGGCGAAAGAAATAAACAGAATTCTGCGAAGAGCATTGAATTAGACAAAAAACTTTCAGACTGAAATGCCTTAATTATTTGTTTACAGTAGGGTTGTAATTACATTAAAATTGAAAAATTTACATTGATACTCAGGAAAATAGTACCCTACATATTACAGGAATAAAAAATACCAAATAATTATATATGTAAAAAAACAAAACATGAAGAAATGCACCTTTTTCAACATGGAACGTTCTTTCTCAACAGAAACACAGATTCTATTAGTTAAAAGTAAAATAAACAACACAACTATTGCCCAATTAAAAATACCATATGGCTGTTTTAGGTGTTATTATGTTTATGTGCAGAATGTCTAGAAATCTAAAATTAAAGATAGAAAAATATGCAAACAACACTTGAATTAAGTATCGATATCGCTCTGTATCCGGATACAGTGTTTAATTATCGATACTTTTGACAACCCTAGATTAAAGAAATCTAAAAAGATATAAACCGCTTTAGCAATGACCAAATAATCCTTAAGTTAGCAAAGGGAACTTAATGATGTCTGAAAAATATCTACTTCCAAACAAAGAAAATGTTTCCATTTCTTTTAAGGAGGAGTTACAGAAAGAGTTGGGTGCTTCTCTGGCTGCAAGAAGCAAAGTCTCCTCAATCTAAGGCTGCACACTGCCAACCAGCTGGCCAAAAGGAGGCTAATAAACGTTTTCTTAGACACAGTCAACACAGTAAAACTGAAGAGACTCCAACAACCTGAAAACATCCTTGTTTATCTCGGGACAACTTTGTTTTTCTGACAGGTGCACTACAAACCCACTGTCCTGGAAACACACATTCACTGTCGCCTGCTGAGTTTGAACCCGATCATCTCCAAAAATACTCTAAAGCTGAAAGTCCTGCATGATTTTACAGAAAAGCAGATGGGGGGAAAAAGTGCAGCGCGGATTTTACAACCGGGGGACGAGTGTTTGCTAGTCCGGGATGTTTATAAACAATGCGGGCATCAGCAGCAGCTAAAAAGGGGATAATAACAGAGCAAACACACTTCTAAAACAAACCCAAGTTCGTTTTTCACCGCCGCGCTTCCGGGATAAGTTTGAGTTTGCTGCTTTAAAAGCAAAAAACACTGAGTGTAAGTAGTTGTTGGTCAGAGAGCTGCAGCTTCCCACCGGCTGCGCTGTTTGATGTGGGAGACTCAGTTTGGAAACGGGAAAGAGGAGCAGAAGCACCTAATTCCAAACCCTTTCACTTCTGCTGCTAATTTACCTCCGTTTATCCGTGTTGAGATCTAGTTCCTCTGTCGGTTATCTCCAACAGATCCTCAGCACTTCAACAGTAAGGCTTATTTTTCAAAATAAATTTGTCAGTTCTTCTCGCTAAACAATCACCCTGCACATCCAAGATGGCTACCAGGAACACCTCCTCCTCGTCGGATGCCCTGTCGGCCACGATTCCGCCTATCTCGCCTGTGATTGGGCAACTTCCAGCAAAGCAGTTCTTCTATTGGTCAAACCCAGCCGTCCGTCACGACACCTGATCCAAGTACTTCCTGGCTAACTTGGATTATGATTGGACAGTTTAGAAAGGTTAAAAGTTGACTTGCCGCGGGTTTATCTGGGAAATTGAGTTTTGTTATTGCGTTAACTCATCCTGTTCAGAGTTGGATAGTAATGGTTATTGCAGATCCATAATCACCCTGTTCCAAAAATAAAGTTTTTAGTTTTATTTTAGTCTGTCTAATATACAACTTCTGCACACTCTAAGCTTTATTTTAATTCAATGTTATATTTTTAAGCACATTTTTTTCATGTTCTATTATAGTATGAGTTGAATTAACATTGTTTACACTTGTGTGTACAAAATTATAAAATAAAATCTCTCTAAGTGTAAGTCTAAAGTCTATTTCTCCCCAAGGTTATAAACCCCAATTAAAAGTGATTTATCTCAAACCACAACACTTCCATTGCCCTTTAAAAATAGCTTGTAAATTTATAGAAACACTTCATATATAATATTTGCCAGTTAAGGGGTGACCTTTTATTCCCATCTTTAGGATTTTCATAAATTAATGTTATTTATGGACTTTAAAAGGGATAATTTTTTATGTCCTTAAATAAAGAAGCCTGCAAGAAAAACAGCCTTCTCTGTATCTTTAATTTTATTATTTGATCTTTTTTTTAGATATTGCATGAACTCAGCTGAAGTTAACTGTGTATAACTGTGAATAATGTTTTATTTTTATAGCAGTGGCACTATATCTGCAGCTAAAGCTGTTTAAACAGGAGCAGAGAGCAAGTTTTGGTATTGACCGTGTTCTACTGTCTCCTGTTACTGCAACATGGGTTTTAAACCACTTCATATATAGCTAATTGTGACCAAGGATCAAGTTATTTTACCAACATTTGCTTTTCATCTTATACAGCAGCATCCAGTTGATTTCCCAACTAATAACAATATAAATTTTATTTTTTGTCTTTTTTTTTGTATCTTTCAAATTCAATTACAATCATTTTGCACATGTTTCACGATTATTTTAATCTCTTTTGACCTTTTCCAATAATTGAACACCTTTAATGTACAAGTAACACCTTTTTGTTAATACACATTACCTAAAACTGTAGGTGAAAGCTCAGCGACTGGTGAAATTTTTTTTTTTATATTTATTTACTGGGGAATTCGATCAGGAGAAAATCTTGCGCATCTCCACAGTTTTTTATTTACACCCATCAAACGTCCCTCGTTGACTCCAATGGTAAATATATGGATGTTTTATGTTTTTGTTGTCATACTGATCACTAAAAGCCTTTACATTAGCTGCCTTCATTCATTCAAACTCACAAATGTGAATGGATTTGTAGACCGATCAGTAGTCAGCTTAGGGTTAAGTGCCTTGCCCAGAGGCACATCAGTCTGTGACAGGAGGAAGTTGGAGTTTATGTTTATGAAGTTTTTAGTTTATTTCCATCAGAAACACAGAATAAAACAAAAATAATATGCTTTTAATTGGATAATTTTGTTTATGTTTCCTCAGTTAAGAGACATTGGCTTTTTATGCTTGTGTTCCGTTTTAAAGGTACAGCCAAAGTTTGCACATATTTTGTTGTTTTATTGTTGAATAGTTTCATTTCAATGACTGAACCCACGTTTTTTACCTTTTTTTGTGACCACCATAATTCAACTGGCCTTATTGAGCAGACTGTCTTAATCAGTTTATTCACTTTTACCTTTTAATACTGTGGGGAAAAACACATTTATAACACCCGTGTTAAAAACATTTGTCACATCCTTATATCTTTTTACTGTTGCTCTGAAAAATAATACCATTCTAGTGATTTGTAAAGTGAATATTTAGTTAAAACAATTAACATAATTTCTCTCTTTCTTATAATGCAGTTTAAACTATTCATTCAACAGAAAAATGTTGGTGTACTCTCTCCCTCTGCTGGTTGGATTTTATTGTGATCAATGAAAAAAAGTCATTCATTGATTGGACTTTTAAAGGCTTCCAAATGCTGCAGGCTACTCTGTTGCTGACGTCCTTCCTTTGTGAATGTTGAACTTTTGAACTTCTACATATTTACCCTGCCCTGCTTTTAAATGGATAGAGTCCTAAAGTCTGTACATCACATCCCTATAAAAAGAAGAAAGCCTAAGTTAAAACTGTTGGAACTAATTACATTTTTCCCCCCTGATTCTAGAAAGATTTTTGTGCTCCAGAGATGAACTTATGGGAATAATAAAATTGATTTCTTATATTACAGAATTAGAACAACAAGGCTAATATGAAGAATATCTTTCTCTCAAAAAGGAAAACTAGATTAAATAGTCGGTATAATAACTCTTCTGTTTTATTGCATTACATTAAAACAAAAGTCCTTCAGGCAGTATCAATGGAAAGATGCACAGAAACTTAAGAAACCCAAATTACTTTTTCCATTCTGTCTCAGGCTACAGCTGAACTTTAAGCCAGTCTAATGCACTTTATCTTCTGCAAAATGTACATGTTGGAAATTGTATTTCCTGAAAATGTTAATAAGCTGACAGATCGTTTTAATTAAAATGTAAGGTTCCTGGTTCTGCTACTCAATGTTTCCAAACAGGTAAAATTTGCACATTTGTTGTTTTTGATGTTTTTTTTTTACATTGACTAAAATATTATATAACATCCTTTTCAGATCAATTAGATGAAAAACTATGAAATCCTCACTGTTGGTTATTTTAGACATTACTGACGAAACCCTTCAGCATCACTTCCTTTGGCTGAGACAGCTCCAGGAACCCTTGATTCCTGCTTTCATCCAATCTTTATTGCATGACTGCTTCCATTTAGTAGTCTGAGTTTCTTTCTTTTCATGTGAATTAATCTACTTTTCTTTTTTTTCCCCTCTGGATTAAAATCTAATTTCTCTTGGAAGAATGACATGAATTTCATTTTGAACACTTATGCCGTCTTTTTTTTTAAATTCTGCACATTAATCTTAGAAATTAAATTAAATAGTTGACATTCTGCTGGTCTCTTCAAGCATCATTAAGATTTCATCTGCATTTAGATTTTGTGCAGCAAAGAGGAATGTCTGTTACAAATTTAAAAAGGCTTTCAAATTGTGTTTAGATGCAATAAACCATAAATTGTGGTCAGAATTGTTATTTGATAAACATTCTGTCAGAGATTATTCAACATTTCATCAAGAATTCATAATTGCAACAATACCAATTACCCAATACAAAAATATCTAACTTAATTCCGGCTAGAGTAGCTAGTTTGGACATGAGACTTTTACAAAAATGGTCACATGCATACCAGCTCATGGTTTGGAGAAATGTAAATCTTTCCTTAATATTTGTCAAGTCCAACAAAGCAGTTTAGCACTACTTTGATTATAGCTATGGTACAAGGTTTTATCATTATGGAATTGAGCTTTCACTTTGGTACCGATAGAAACCGGAATTATGGTAACGGCAGTTAGCTTGACGAATGGAGAAAAAAGATGAAAGAAAAGTATGAAAAGGTTCAGTGTTAAAAACGCAAAACGCCATGGAAAAATGGTTAAAACTTCAAGGTTTAGCTTCGGTCAATTGGGGAACCATGTTTGTAAATTTAAAAAGAGGCATTTTTTACACCATATATCAGTCAGATGCCATAAATGCAGAAGAAAAATTTAACAAAGAAGCTGATGCATGCAACAAAATAAATAATATAACAAAAGATTCAATTTAAATATTTATTTTTCAATAAACCACAGATTCTTGTGTGTATATATTCAGGGTCAAGCAACTTAAAATAGATTTTCAATCCTTTTATGAACAAAAGCAAAAGTACAAAAAAAAAAAAGGCTCAGACAGTGAAGACCACTGTGTTATATAAAGTGCCGCAGGTGAACATCAAAGAAAAGATTCCCTCACAGTAAAAGCTCCCAAAAATGTGAAACAAAAATTTCATCTGATTGATTTGTTGTATTTAAAGCAGATTAAGGTTCGATTACTTGAACCTTTCCCATGACCTTCTAATGAAGGATTCAGTTCCTGAACCTGTAGGAAATAGGGAGCAACTTGTTGGTCTTCTTCATGCTCTGGACTTTGGCATGAGTCTCCTCATCCATGGCCTTGTAGCATCGCCGGGCATAATCCAGAAGCTTCTCCTTGGAGGCCTCAAACTCTCCTACTTCAGTCACCTGCAGAGAGGGAAAAAAAAAATCCATCTGTGTCCACACTAGGGAAATGCTTTTTTCAAGCTCTACTCAGAGAAAATGACAGTAAGATGAAAAATGATTAAACAAGTATAGTTTAGGAGTAGAGAGTGGCTGTGCAGATGTTTTAAAAAATGTTTATTTCTTTATTTTATGTTTAGGCAGCAGACATTCCTCTAGCCCAGTGGCCCTAAAACTGGGGTCTCCGCACCTCCAGGTGTCCGCAAACCACAGGTTGGGTGTCCATGAAACACATTGCTTAGGAGAGCCTGAGGAGACACAACTCGTCCACTTCACCAAGTAAGGCAAAAGCCAAATCAGCTAATTATATATATATATATATATATATATATATATATATATATATATATATATATATAATTCCTAAAGTATTTAAGAGTACAAAAGGCTGTATAATAAATACTGTCAGCATGAGGAATCTAAAGGGCTCCTTGTGAAAAAAAAATAAATTCCTGTTGCTAAGGTGTCACTGGCCACAAAAAGTTTCAGAACCCCTGCTCTAGCCTATTACTGTTGACATTTTTAATAATCAAATGTGCCCCAGGAAGCACATTTATAGTTCAGATCTCGTTATTAACCAAATCACACATTGTGCAATTAGAGCTTATAGCATAAGGAAACTTAACTTAGAACACAAAAATCGGCTGTTAGGGCTATCAGCTGTCAGCGTCTCAGATAATTAGGCCTCCACTTCACCTAGCACCGCAAACAGGGTTACATCCACATCTTACTGGAATGCAGTCTCAGCTAACTGAGCCTCCACCTCAACTATCCCAGCTGATACAGCTAACAGAGACACAGCCACAGCCAACTAGGCCTCCACCTGGGCTAACATAGCCACAGCCACAGCAAACTGATCTACAGACTATATGTAACAAGACCACTGCCACTTCAGCTGACTGGGCTTTTAACCTCAGCTGACCGGGCTGTGGAACAGACCTTCATAAAGCTTCGAACTTAACACTAATTCTGACATTTTGAATTGAAAAAGCTTCCTGGTTGGGAAGCGAAACGTCTTCAAACTTGAAAACAAAGTCCAGTGGATTGTTTTTTTAAACAATCTATGACCTGGATGACGGAGAATCGTCACCAGCATCTGGAACATTATCCCTCTCAAAAAACAGGTTAAAATCAAATCAACAATGTGCTTATCGATCTCCTGGTGCATGACAGCCAAATGTCAGTATCAGCAATAATTTGTGAATATTTGTACATATTTATGCTGATGTCTCTGTTTGAACTGTATGACCTGCCCTTGTAATTATGTAGCCTCGATTTTTTAAATGTTCTAAGTTTGTTTTCTAATTTTAAGTTGTTGTTGGCATTATACACCTTGCCCAGGGACAAAAGTTAAAAACTTCATAGCGAATACTAACATATTTACAGCAATGTTCATTAATGTGTACTGTCCCTGACATTCATAAAAATAAATAAATAAAATAAATAAAAATTGTATTTGTGTCTATCCTGCTATTTAAATGAATTTGAAACGAGTTGAAATGTGGAAAAAAAAAGTGAACAGTCAAAAGCTCAGGGAAGCTTGGATCATGATTTGAATAGTTGGTTTGGATCCTAAAACATTCAGATGTTTCTGCCTCTTTAGCCTGAAAGTTCAAACCTTTTCTGGAGCCACAAGCAGCAGCTCTGCGATCGGGGAGGTAGAGGCCATGGTGTTTCGATCCACCCCGTGGATCTGGAAGGCTCGGGACATGCTCCTCACCCGCTGGTAGGTGTACAGGATCTTCTTATAACGAATCAACACCCCGTCTGGGTCTTTAACTGGAAATAAAGAGTATAAAAAACAGAATTTTAAAGCCAACAATGTTTTTGTTGCAGAAGTATTGTTGTTTTATTTTTTACCGGTACCCGAAACAATAGATTTTAAAAATAGCAGATGTTGATTTTAGAAGTGTTGAAGTACAGTTTCAATACTTTTATAAAAAATTTTTTTTCCTGAGAGCCAACCTGAGGCTAAGTTAGGAGAGCTTTGAATAAGACATGACCTATAAACAAATGATCCTCACCTCTCTGTCTCTCCCTCCCGTGTGTGATCCTGAAGATCCTCCTCATCTTCATCCTCGGCTCTCCACCGCCCCGCCCCCGCCCCTTCTTCTTTGTCCCATTCTCCACAGATGAGTCTGCATCTTCCTCCACCTCTTCCTCCTCCTCTTCTTCAACAAACTCTTCCTCAGTGTAATATTTGTCTTCTTCAAGATGAAACTCCTGTTTTACTGTGAACAATAGAGGGTAATAAATACTTATATATTCTTGTCTGCAGTACTTAACATCTGCTTTTCATCATACTCATTACCTGGGACAGCGATGTTAAGGCGGCTCCGAGCTTCTGAGGTCTGGAGACGTTTGAGGGTCATTCCAGACCTGGTGGTCATTGGAGAAGGAGGAGTTGGAGAGCTGGCAGGCTGGACCTTCACAGCACGCTGGGCGTCTCCACACCACTCAGTCACTGAAGAGAGAAACAATAATAATATTGAATCATTTTACCAGTATCAACATTAAAAGGCACCTCCCTCACCATCTGGGCTCCTCATGTTAACGATGAAGCGGTCCAGCTGACAGCGCAAGAAGTTACGCTCCTCTTCCAGCTCCTCGATGCGTTTCTGCAGCCAGGCATTCTTCTCCAGAGAGACATAGAGGTGAGCCCGCAGGTTAGAAATCAGGATAAAAGGGCTGTACTGGGAGTGAAGAGACTCCTGCGCCACTGGCTCTGATTTCAAAGGAAACATGAACATAAAAACAATTAAGCAGGTGAAAATAAATTAATAAATCAAAATACAGGCCGTCTGTTTCTGGGTGTCAACCTAATGATCTGAATTCCTGCAGAAAAAAAAGCCTTACAGTTCATAATGCTGCCAGCTTCATTTTTAATACCCAGGATGGAGTTAAAGTTGATATGTTCACTCTGCACAAATAATATTGCAATAAAGAAAATGTTTTGGTCTCATCCTTAGAAAGAAGGACCTTCTAGATGTTTGATGTGTCTCTTCATAAAGACCAGATTTGGAGACAGCATGGCTGAAAGTGAAGCTGTCAACAGGTTCTTCCATCTTAGCTGGAAACCTCTGCAGCTCCTCCAAAGTTAGCATGAGCTTGTTCCCTGCTTCTTTGATAGATGTTCTCCTTGCCTACCCTGACAGTTTAGTAAGGCAGTCATGTCTGGTTGGTCTGCAGTTTTCAAACACAATTCACATTTTTTAGCACATGTTTAACACTCTTTGTTTTGTTAATACAAACTGGTGTTTTGTTGTTTAGCATAACAAGATGCTGTGACAAGAAAAACAATATTACTCATGCATGCAATGAGTAAGCAAGGAGGTATTTCCACAGCAGAGGGGAGAAAAGAAAGAGGAAACATCCAAGATTAAGTGTGAAAAAGAGCAAAACAATAGTGGATGGGAACAGAGATATGAGGTTGATAGCTCTCAGAAAACAACAGGAACATTGTTCATGGAAGTGGGAGCTAAAGCTAGGTTTTTATGCAACACATAGAACAGAACAAGAAGGCATGCATGCATCATTCCTGCCCCATTGTGTTCTATATCCTTTAGAAAGTAGTTTGTTTTCATTATTTGTTATGTTTGTTTAACATTATTATTAATCATTAAATACATATTTGACTGTATGGCTGTGCACCAATTACATTATGAATTAATTTTATTTCCCAGCCTTAAAAATCATTTCATTCTTACTAACAAAAAGTCATTTTAGTGGTTTGGGTTTCTGAGGTGATATGCAGCTGACTTTCCTTTTGTGCTTTGGCCCAAAAAGGTATTTTAAGAAGTATTTTCTTTTACGCATGATTATAACCAATATTTGATCTTAGTTTTCATTACATTCCTTAATTTAATTACAACTTTGATTGATAAGTAAAGTCATTAGCTTAGACATATATTTCCGGTTAGAATATTACACATGGGGGCCCATATCCAGTTATCTTGTCCCAGTTCCAGCTAAAGCTGTCAGCTGGTCTGAGAATATTTCTAAACACTGTACCAGTGTCAGTGTAGGGTTGAAATTTTCTGTTTCACTTTACTTATGTCCTCAATCTATGAAATAAAGGAGAGGAGTCTGTTTTCAGGTGTTATGCTGGCTTGTTTGCAACACCAACAATAAAACAACCATATAGCTCTGCCGTTGCTCATTTATTCACCTTTTTTTTTTTTTTTATCAAAACAATGTGAACTTCCTGGTCACGCTAAGGAAGCCTAAACAATTGGCAAAATATGTCTGAATCAAATCTTACCTATAAACAAACAAATAAAAACAGAAATATGTCCTAAACTTAGAGCAATAAATTTCACTTATATTTTTTATTAATTAGGCTTATACTAAATATTGAAGTATAAAACCCTGCAGTGGTTCTACAGGTTTGCATGCTGTCAACAGAGACCTGCATGGCACCAGCACAGCTGTACTCAGCAAGATGCTGCAAAGTTGTTAGATGCGTGAGTTGGTCCTGCCAGCAGATGGCGACGGTGCAGAACAAAGTTTGCAGGTCGGAAAAGTTCTTTTTAGGCTCCAAAGGAGTAATTGAACACAATCATGGCAATGCTTGTTGTATATTGCTCTATTTGAAGATTAATATACATATTTGTTGTATTTTTTTGTAGACATATTATCTATTTGGGTCCCAATTAAGTTTTGGTATACTGTTTTAAAATGTAACCCTCTTCTAAAGTGTTTATAGACCAGCCAAGCTGAAATTATATAGATTTTGTCTGTAGATCAGAAACAGTATCACTGGGAACAACTATATGCAGACAATAATTTTATTTAGGGGAAAATAGTTAAGGGGACTCATTACAAATATATTCCACCAATTTACTTTTCAATAATTATAATCTGTAAAGTTTAGCCTTATGTGATAATAGATAAGGGCTGTCATTACTTTCATAAAGCATGTATTTTGACTTCTTTTTTTATGAATACATAATAAAAGTAATTCTGCATATTGTGACAAACCTTCATTCATCTGCTGACCCTGGTTCACGTGGTAGGCAGGTGGGCGGTCTGTACCTTCTTCAAGGGGAAAGGAGACTTCATAGGCGTTTAGATATAAACCTCCGCCTCCTCCTATTCCTCCTGTGGCTGATGAAGAAGATGATGACTGGGGGACGTAGTGCTCTGACATGTGGGAAAGTCAGAAAAACATTGGACAAAAAAGCTGACACATTTTGCCAGGAAGTAAAAAAATACATAAAAGCTACTGGTTTAATCAAACAAAATCTGTGTAATTGTCTGAAATTATCATTAATTTCTATAGTATTTTATTCAAATCCACCAGAAATAAACATTTTATTAGTCTTCTTCCAATAGTTTTCCAGACCTTTGAAACACTTTTGTATTTCTTTATTAACAGTTTATAGGGAAAACTAAGGCTACAAATAGTGATGTTATAAGATGAGCCGAGGCTTCGAGGCGTGTGTTGAGAAGTGGAAGGAGCGTTTCTACAAGGCGCGTATCGAGGCTTGCTTCATTTGGGGGAGGAGCCAAAATAGATGACGTCCGAAGCCTCCCTACGCCGCCATACCATGTGACCCCTTCAGGGAGTGGTTCAGCTCGCCGGGAACTTCAGCAGGCATTTAAACAGCCTCATTACTCAAGATGTGGGATTTTGTAGGAGAGTTGCGGTCAGTTGGATAGAGTTTGGATATGCTATAAGAATAGATTGGTGGTTTTTACAACCAAATTAGTTGGTTTAAACTAGTCTGGTTGGATTAAACAATGTAAAGATCAAAATCTGATCAAACCACTGATTAAAGTTACGACATTGGTGTTAAGTAGTATTGCTTTGTGGAGAGCTGTCACCTTACTAGTGGTGTCAGCTGTAAGACATAGACTTCCACTCCTGAGGTTGTTGATTCAAAAGCCGCCTCAGACTTTTGAAAGTTGCGATAAAACACAAGTATTTTGGCTAATGTGACTCATTTGTATCGGTTTGCCCTAGAGCAAATATAGATTGGGTAAAAACACTTCCAAATTAGATTGGTTGGTTTAACCAAAAGATTGGTTTAACACATAACTTTCAACCCGACTAAAACCACAAACTATGGAAAAACTATTACGTTTGAATAAAAATGACTAACACTTTGCATTTTGCTCATCATTGCCCAATTTGCACAAACACCTTCACTTTCTGCTGGAGAATATTTCACTAAAATGGCAGAAAAACAGTGTAGCTTAAATAATTTTTCTCTTTTGAGACATTTACACACACAAAAACTCTCAAAAGATTTTACTATACGCACCAATCATTAACAATTTCAAAGGAACTTAAAATAAGAAAAACAATTGCAAAAAAAATCTATTATATCACTAACTGTAATTCTGCACTCCACCAGTAGGTGGTGACATGTTCACATGAAGCTCCAAGAACTGTGGGGGTAATTAAAATTTACCAAAACGGTTCAATGTTCTCATGAGGCTTAATTTCATCACCACTACCAAAAACAACCTTTAGCTTTATTCTTTGACACCTTTCAAACACAAAAATTGACCTCATTACTTAATTGTTTTAAAATCTATTGCTGGGTTAATTTACTGCAGACACATCTATCTTTACTTAATCTGAAAACTACCTAAAGAAAAGGGCAGAGGCAAAACTGGAAATCTGTACTAAAAAGATGTCAGTGTGTTTTCTAACCACTGAGTTAATGACCAGGCCATGTTCTTCCAAGTACAATGTACTTCTACCTTGTTCTCATTCATACAAACGTTTTTTTGGCACTGCATGGCAGAAAAAGGTGCAGACAAACTGCATTTAAACGGCAATTATCATTGTTTTATTAGTGACTTTCTTGGATTCTGAGTTATGTTTTTCCATATAGCAGTAAAAAAAAAAGAAGAAAAAAGAAGAAATATTCTATGTATGACTTGCACTTTAATTGATAATTCCACTTAAAATTAAATGTACCCAATTAATTTTATGAAATGTTGTCGAAATCACGCGAGACAAGCCGAGAAATTGTCAATTTATACAGTTATTACACAGAAAACACAATTATAGTGATAAATATACCACTGAAACTAATAAAATAGATATTAACCAACAGAAAGCTGAAAACTAGAGAGCCGTGGGAGTTTAAACGTCTTTGGGGAAACAAGAGTTGGGCTTACCTGGCGTGTTTGTGTCGTGTCTGCTGGTTGCGGGGTTCATGACTGCAGTCTGACAGGTAATGATGAAGAGGCTCAAGATTGGAGTAACAGTTAACACGAATTAACTTGTTAAAGTTGATGTCCAGGCGTCTTGTTCGCGGTTATACTTCAGTAATACAGCGTGAAACGGAGCCACGTCTGCCGCCAGCCTGCAGCAGCAATTACCTGATTATAATCAGCCTCCACAGGTGGACGCTAGATCCGCTGCAGCTCACACATGCGCAGAGCACATTTCTACCAGTTACATCTCATGCATAGAAAAAAATCTGTATGTCAAGGAGGATACGGAAGAGGATTAGGGCCAATGAAAAAATAAAAAGTTAACTGATTTTTAAATTTTATTTGAGTTTAATATAGGAAAAAAGTCAGAATTCTGAGATGAAAGTCAGAATTCTGAGAAAAAAGTCAAAATTCTGAGAGAAAAAGTCAGAATGATGACTTTTTTCCACGTATCAAACTGAAATAAAATTAAAAGATCAGTTAACCCAGAATTATGAGAAAAAAGTCAGAACTTTTTTCCTCAGAATTCTGAGAAAAAAGTCAGAATTTATGAGATTAAAGTCAGAATTCTGAGAAAAAATTCAGACTTCTGAGAGAAAAAGTCATAAATCTAAGAGAAAATTCAGAATTCTGACTTTTTCCCCCATATTAAACTGAAATAATATAAAAAAAAAATTAGTTAACTTTTTTTAAAGGCTGAATTCTGAGAAAAAAGTCAGAATTCTGAGAAAAAAGTCAGAATTTATGAGATTAAAGTCCGAATTCTGAGGGAAAAGTCAGAATTTTGAGACTGAAGTCAGAATTCTGAAAGAAAAAAAAAATCAGAATTCTGAAAAAAAGAATTGTGAGATTAAAGTCAGATTTCTGATTTTTTCCCCATGTTAAACTTAATTAAAATGAAAACTTATAAACTTTTTTTTAAAACTTATTAACTTTTTTTATTTTTTTCAGTGGCCCTAATCCTCTTCTGTAGGAGAATGTTTTGGTTTAATTACTTTTTTTGAATGTTTACATTGAAGGGCAGAAGAGTTTTACGTTTTAAAAGAGCAGAGTACTCTATATTTTCCTTAGTGGTTTCTTTTTATGTGTAACAGAAAAAGATAACAGTGAGGGAAATATAAAAAATCCAGCAACTGATAAAATTTTTCATGTCCATCAGAAAAACAATATGGACTAATTATTTTTTTATTTGCATTCTTCATAACAGCAATAGTAGGCTATATGGTTATAGTTGTAACAATCTTTTGGTTTTATTGTTTTCTGATCTTTTTTTATAAAAAAAAATAATTAAATGGGCTTTTACTCAATAAGTATAAAATAGCCTACATAAACAAAATATTAGTTTGAAATTGATAAAAATAATCATCTACGCAGACCTGACTGTTATTGGCGACAAACCTTTGTAATTTGGCTCCTATCTCTAACCCGTAGCCTTTTTCACTTTGGAAACGCAAAAATTCAGTTAGTCCGTGAAGGCGACAAACCCGCGTGAGGAATGTCTCACCTGAGGGAGGGGCACAGGTAGGGGAGAAAAGTGAGGGCGGCGGTAAACACGGAAGTGAAGAAAGTAAAGGGAAAAAACTTCTACAACTCTCAGCGGGCCGTTTTAATCAACACAAACTGAGCAGGAGTCGAAAAAACAACAAGTAAGAAAAACATTTAATTGGGCTTATAGTTAATTGTTTTATTAATCGAGAGGTAGATCTACGATTTAGGTCTAAAATCTCTGCTTTCTGTGATTTTAGGTGGGAAACATGAGATGAGCCAATTAACAGTCTAGTTGAATGTTTCCGACTTTAACGCTGATCTTTACCGTGTAGCTGGATAATTATTAACTCAGGTTAGACCGACAGCCATTTAATCTGCTATCCAGTTGGTATTATTTGTGTATAACTGCATATAAAATACTTTGTTTTCCTTACATACATGCATCAACCAGTCTAGATGCATCGGCATGTGCTCAGTGAGCTTCAGGTTATTATGAAAGCTAGTTAAGATAAAAAAAAAAAATAATAATAATTAAATGAGGAAGACCAAAGCAGAGGAAACAGATTATTATCAAACCACAGAAAACACAAGGAATTAGTTATTAAGCTTTTAGGAAATAAAATAAACTGAGAAAGGAAAGGGAAAAAAGCTTGACTAATGTTCTGTAGTGTTTTAAAAAGCTAAATAAATAAATAACTAATTAAATGATAAAAATGTATTTAAGTATGTAGCTCTACACATTTTTTTCTCATGCTTTATGTTACGATAAAAGTAACGTGTTTAATGGCTTAATATACTATAAATGCTTTTATTATGAAACATGCAAATTCTCAGAGAAAACTACAGAAAAAGCAACATTTTTTTTCATGCTATAGAAGTTGATTCAAGCAGGAGTTTTGGGTTGGTGCCATTTTTACTTTTGGATTCATGTGAATCATGTTTTAATCGTCTCTGATTTTTTTTTTTTGAAGCATTAGAGGTTGTTTTATCTGAGAAGCTGATCATTTTCTGCAACTCTGCATACATACACACACACACATATATATATATATATATATACCGGTATCTAACTGTGCAGTCATCATTCTTATTAGCTGACCGGATTTACTCAGACTTTTCACCGTAAACCTGAACGCACCACACCAGCTTCATCCTTAAACCTGAGCCACCAGTTTGACACCTCATTATTTAATGTCTAAACTGGTAATATTAGGGATTAGCCTCCTTTCATTCACTCAGGATAAGCAGCATAACTGCTGCGTCTTATGCTTTTTTTATGAATCTTCTACTCCTTGTCAGCCTGATTTTATATTTCTCCTGGTTATAAGTAAAAACAAAAATTTTCTGCTCCAAATTTTAAAGCTATTCTTAACATTGGTTGAAATATAATCGTATATATATCAAATATTTCCTTTGTTTTGAAAGTTTAAATAATTGTTCTTAAATTTTTTCCACTTCTTTAATACATCCTCTGATTCAGCTCTCCTCATGTTTCTTATATTACTTTGTGGGCTCATTCCAGTTAAAAAACATACCAAAAAACAAACAAGAAAACATATATTTTTATATACTCTACAAAAAAAAATCCTTCTTCACAACCACTGTTGAGCATTTTTCCTTTCAATAAACTTTACATGCACAAGTGCACTCTCACAAACAACTACAGGTGCTTGGCTCCAGGTACTTAAAGATTCACTTCCATACAGAAAGCTTATATTCTTATCTTCAGGTACCACAGTATACATGTCAGATTCAATAATACTACTTAAACTTCAGCGATAGTATCAAGGTGTTACTTTACTGTATCTTTTATACTATATCCGTTGGTTGTTTTGTTCTTTTTACATCTCTTTGCAGGTGATGTAGCAGACTAAAAATGTTTTATCGCTATCTCCCTTTTATCTTCTCTTTCTTTCATCTTTTCTCCTTGTTTTTGTTTTTCCTTTCCTGTTCTACTTACATTGCAGTGTCCATACAATCTGTCAAACTCCCTGCATGAATTATAATAAAGCTATTTATAAGCATAAATCAAGCGGAACACTATGGCGATAGCCGTACTGCTCCGCTTGTGAAAGCAAAATCTGTTGGGCTCTCTTATTGGCATCAAGACAATAATAATTATTCTTATTGCCACATTGGCAGACAGGACACTGTTGAAAAAAATAAAGTAAAAAAATAACTGGTGCTTATGTGTTGTTATAAAACATAATAGTCGATAATGAATTTAGAAGATTAAGTAAATTTAAACAGGAAAACATTATCTCATCTAAGCTTCTTGCTGTCATGTTTACCAACATGATGGGATGTTTGCTTTAAAAAATTGTTTGGTTTTAGGAGCTTTACAACTAATTAGTTGTTTTATAGTTATTTCTCCTTGGCAGAATTAAAAAAAAAGATTTTTCCCTTTTTCGCAGCCTCACCATGGGCCTGTGTGAAGACCTGTCTCACTGTAAACTGGCCCTGGTGTTTGCGGTGCTGATGGATGTGCTGGGAGGAGTTGCTCTGCTGGTGGGAGTCTTTGCCCCTTTGAAGTTTCATGGAGAAGAATTCGGGGACCTCCTGGTTTATAGCGGTACTTATCCAAATTCAGGATTTGCATTTTTTTTATTTCAGAAACTGATCTTCTTCTTAATGATTATTATTATTGACTGTATGATTCAGTGTACTGCCCACCCAGACAGTGGGTGTGCTGAGCAACATATTTGTTTCTATATATTTTACCCTTTTTTTAATGTATCTTAAATGTTTCAAATCATCAAATAATATTTAGTTTAAAAAAAGAAGTGATAATAATAATAATTGAAACTATTGATCTCACACTGCAGAGATTTACCTCTGCATTTAATCCATCCCTTTTGGGGAGCTGTGGGCTGCCACTGTGCAGTTACCCAGAGTGCAGGCTGTGGGGATCGAACTGGGTATATGCAACCTTCTCAGAGTACAAGCACAAGATTGAATATAAAGGCAGTTTCCATAATATTTCTTGTAAATAATTCATTTAATTACATATTTGAATGAATTTGGCATAACATCGAAAAACACTAAACTTTAAATTAATTAATTAATTAATTAATTGTTAACTTGGTCACATAAACGCCTAGTAGTTGCCAAAAAAAATCACCAAAAAATAATGAACAGTTTCAGTGTAGAAATGGCCACAAAGCAATTTCTATTAATTTACTCAAAAAAATTATTTTATTATTTTAACAATAAGTCTGCTGAGCTAACACATTTTCTATAAGAGAATATTGACGATTCATCCTGGAGGTTCCATGGGAACCCAAAGCCACATCTAAAGCTCTAATGCTCTGTGGCTGCATTTTGCACCAGGTCTCAGAATACCAGACATGAATTTGTGATGGTTTGGGAATGTTTTGCTGCTTGCAGTACTTGGATGGATTGATTTCACAGGTGGAAATATGAATCTATCTGGCAAAATGTTCAGCCATCTGATGGTGATCTATTATATTTGGGGTGTTCAGCAACTAGAAAATTATCCACTATGCAGCATCTGAGGCTGTTGGTCCTGCTCTGGATGCTCCCCGGCCACCTGAGGAAAAAGGTTCTTTGTCAGATAACGCAAACAGGCCACAGGTTATTACTTTGAGGAGGATTTACTTTTCCATGAGTCAGGTTGCTTGAGATAGTAATAATTGAACATCATTGATCTCATGTGGAGAAATTCACTTTTGCATCTTAACCCATCCCATTAGGGAGCAGTGGGCTGCCATTGTGCGTCGCCTGGGGAGAAATCGGTAGTCAGGGTCTTGCTCAGGGATCCAGAGTGCAGATTGTGGGAATCAAACTAGGTTCTTGCAACCTTCTCAGAGCACAAGTGCACTGCTCTAACCCACTAGGCCAACACCTCCCCAAGATAATTTATTTCCCTTCGTAAATAACATTTTCCATTTGAAACAGCATGTTGGATTTACTCAGAATAAATTGATCTCATGTAAACTTTGTTTCTGAAACCACCCTGCTGCTACTGCCCCCTATGGGCACAGCCAGGGTATACAGAGAATGTCGCACAGCTTTTCATACTGCCTCTGTTTTGTACATAAAACATAGTCTAGGCTTTGTACCAGATTTTTTTTATTTCCTGATTTTTAAAGCCCAAGAATTGACATTCTTCTTCTTGTTTTTTTTTAAACAATGACTTGAATTTGTGAGAGTTTAAACCTGTGCTTCTTTTTAACCTCTGCCCAGGGGTCCTTCTCATGGTGGCGTCTCTGGCCGGGTGGGTCCTGTGGTACAGCGGGAACATCGAGGGCCTGACGCCTGAGAAGGATATGGGACATATCAGCTCCGCCGTCGACCGGATTGCTCGTCGACTCAGTCGGAAGATGTTCTCCCACCGGAAGCACTTATCTTATTCACAGTCAAGTCGTGTTTAACTCTATGTGTTGCTGAAAAAGTTGCCGTATTCAAACCAGTGTTATTGATGCGTATTAATCATTTCAGCAAATGTCGCTTTCTAACCTGTTACAAAGTATTTTCTTTTCTATTACATTTTAAAACGTGTTTATTTTTTCTAACTCCTGCTCAGTAAATGATGTATTTTTTACCAATTTCAATAAACAAAACACTTTTAATAATTCACCACTAGTGTTTGTCGTATTTTAGACTCAAATTTATCCAACACTTATTATTCTAACTATGAGGAATAATGCATTCCTAGATGTGTTGCTGCAGCATTTAAGGCCTAAAAAAGAGAGCCGGATGCCTACATGTACCAGGGCAGCTTTGCTCTGTAAAAAAGGAATCAAAATATGATATTTGATTGATTGATTGATTGATTGACCCATTAGATTCAGATTAAATCAGGCAGGTCGACATAGGAACAGGGCAAGATTTTGGTTAACAAACCCCACTAACCAAGCCTGCCACCATACCTCCCAGTGCAGGCCAGGCTTGGGAACCAGCTGCCCATACTTCTGTTGGCACAGAGTTATGAGCGAAAACAGGCCACACACTGCAAAAACGAGCTAGAAATAAGTTCAAATTTCTTAAATTAAGTGTATTCAACCTTAATTTGAGTAGGTAAATTAGATAGTTTGCCAATGGAATGAGTATTTTTACTCTTAAAATAAGATAATTAGATAATATGTTCTTGAAATAAGAGAATTTAACTGTGTTTTCTTATTTTAAGTGTAAATTGTCTTGTTCCATTGGCAAAATGTATCTTTTACCTCCTCAATTCAAGAACAAATGCACTTATTTTAAGAAAAAATGACTTATCTTGATTTAGATTTTTTTGCAGTGCACATATCTGCATCCCTGTCTCTGCTTTATACATGATGTGTCTATGTTAAGGTGAAGAGGTACAATGAGCACAGCTGTGCATTATACAATTGGATAAAAAGATTGATAATAGTGATTTCTATATTTCATCTTCCACTTTCCTTCAAATTTAATAAAAAGCAGTTCTTTTCACGAGTAAAAAGTTGAATGCCACAGAGTTAGTGTAACAATGGGATAAAACAGTAAATGGCCTGTACTGCTACAGCGCTTTATGAAGTCCCAAAGAGTCCCCTATTTACTCACTAATTGTGAGCTACATTGTAGCCACAGCTGCCCTCAGGCAGACAAACAGAGTGCGGCAAACGATCAGCGCTGCCTGGCCTCTGACCACCAAAGGCAGGAGTGAATAAGACTGATGGAGTGTGGGCTCGACCCAGAAACCCAGAAGCTTTAAGGAAAAACTCTTATATCCTGCGCTACCATTGCCACAGATATGTAAATAAATAAATAAATAAATAAAATAAAAAATAAATTTACATTAAATTACATTTTTATAGGATACTGAAATGCATAATAAGAATAAAATCACATAAACGGCTGTTTGTTAGTTGTATTATTTGTCTTTTATCTTTAAATAATGCTTATTATTAATTCAAATACAGGTGATAGAACTACTCTTTTATCCTCTTTCAGGGGATCATTTTATTAGCAGCCCCTGGTTTATACTGTGTGAAAATACCAAAAGTTTTATAATAACGAGGCCCCACTGTAACAGCTACATATAAAACCCTGATAAATGCCCCACCTTTAGTGAAAATGGAGGTTTACATAGAGATTATTTTATAAAAAGATGTGTTATTTCCAAACTGTCTGTCTTTGTTTTAGTAAAGATATATGGAGACCTTTATATGTTTTAAATAGGGAGAGATGTTTAGTTCAGAACAGGGCAGAAACATTATACTATGAGGGCTGTTGATGGTCTTGTTCTCTCTTTTTCTTTTTACTTTGCAAAGTTAAAAAAAGTGCTGACTGAGAGAAATCCATCAATCTCCATTTATTTATCTGAAGTGAATAGCTGAATAGCTTTTTCCAACAACAGTGGATTACACTGAAAGATTGTACATTGTGCTACGAAGGGAAAGTCATGTTACATGATTAATTATAAACCTCTATATAACGTGAAAATGACATTATTGTCTTTATTCTTTTATTATGCTGTATTCTTCCAGGATGTAAAACTATATTTAAGATGTTTTAAGTCTGTGAAACTCCTTAACAAGGTGAGAATCCAGTGGTTTGAGGAGATTTAACAATGTCAGTTTCTCTCCTCTAGATGGAGCCATTGAGCTAATGTTCACAGCTGCCTCACCTGTTACTCTTCATCTTTATCATCTTCCTGCTACTGCAGATCAGTCCAGAGAACAGCTAGTTAAATTCAGTCAATCCATTTAATATTTTAAAGCTTATTTGAAAATATTTTCTTAGAACTTACCCCTTTACTTTAGTTCCTTCCTGGTGTTTAACGGTTTCTTCATCTGGTGCCATCGCCACAGGATTGTTTACAGATGAGCAGATTCATCTACTAAGCCTCCCATGTGCCCAAGGATATTGCTGTACCTACTCAGACTTGCTTTGCCTTTCTTGGAAACCTTGGAGAGCTCATTAAAGTGAATGCTGTAGTTTCAGACAGCAGGACATTTTATGAAAAAATCTGGTTAAACACAAAGGCGCCTTTGGATAGGTTTGCTCCTTTTAGTTTATACCAGTACATTAAAAGTCCCCAATAACTATTCCAAGCTTTTAAGCTATACTGAGGACACAGCCTTTGTAGCTTTAGAGCAGAGGTCTTCAACAGGGGGTCCGCAACTCCTAGGGGGTCCACTGAGGTACTCTATGGGGTCTCGAAACTTTTGGTTGATGAGACTTTTTTTTAATAATCCCCCCTGCAATTTTTTCCACTAATTGAAATGTCTTTAAATACACATTAACATGAATTCAACACACTTTAGTAAACAGATAAATGGAGGCAGAAGATGTCTGTCAGTCATCAATGCACACATTCAGCGACACACAGGAGCTCTATTAAGCTCAGCACTGTTTCATTCACAACACCTGTCCCATCAACCAGGAATCAGAATCAGAAATACTTTAATAATCCAAGGGCGAAAACCTGGAAAACTTTGAAGACCCCTGCTTTAGAGGAAAATTTAAGAAGGAAAATTTCTATTTTGAACAACTGCATAATTCGGGGACTATTGTCTATATTCTATAATAGCAAAGACCCATTGAAACAAGTTATAATTTAGAAAACAGTCAAAGTAGAGAATTATTTTAGTTGCCTTTACCCACAATAAGTCAGTAATTGAACTAAGAAATTAGCATATTTTTTCTTTGATATTATCATCTTAGTTTGGTACATTAGTACATATTTTATTCAGATAGCAAAAGTATTCCAGAAGTAGTAGATAAAAGGTGGAAAGCACTTTACCTTTAAATAGGATTAGGCAAAAAAAAAAAAAAAAAAATCAGAATCTGAGAGAAAAAAAAAAGACAAAGGATTGGGATTATTTCCTCGAAACCTGCTGGAAAAACACAAAGACAATTACAAAGTATACATGTCAAAGGCATTATGAACAAAACTAGGAGGATTATTATGATCCCTTTGCAGCATGAAGAGTTTGTAAGATTAACTCCATGGAAACCTTGGAGAAAACCAGCAACAATTGGAAACTTTCAGAATGTGAATGCATGAAAATAAATAACTTTAAAAAAACCTCAAAATATTAAATTCTTGTTGACTATTTTTAATTGTATTTATTTTTTTATGATTCACATAAGAGTTTGACAATGGTAAATGCTCTTTGTTTAGTTATTTAGGCATCCTTCATGCTTTTATACATAACAAATTCATTTCTCTATAGCTAAACCAATTAATATATGGCCATGTTTTAATCCATTTATAAAAAGAATAATTTAAGGACTAATTGTTCTGTGGATGGACAATAAAGTGTTATTTGTGTTCTTTTTCATCCAGAAAAACTAAACAAAAAAATGCAGAGAATCCTATTTCATAGCCAAGCCAGTCCCCACAGAGTCTAGATCAGGGGTCACCAACCTTTTTAAGGCTGAGGGGCACTTCAAGGGTACCGAGACGTAGGAAGGGCGACCATTACTGACCCATGAGCTGCAAGGGTTAGCGTTAGCCTAAACTTTGTACATTATCAACAATTTTTTATTGTTTCTGTTCATTTCTAAGTTTATTTAGACATTGTCATTTTTGAAATCTCTGCAAATGATTAAAAAGAAGAGCAACAGAATAAAATAACATTTCAAACTTAGCCCACTGGTGAGCTGTTCTTTATTTAGAAGACTCTGAGGGGCCCCCATGTGGTCCTTGAGGGCACCTTGGTGCCCACGGGCACCGTGTTGGCGACCCCTGGTCTAGATGCAGATGTTAGTCTGGGATCTTGGTAAAGAATGTTCAACACAAACAGCTCTGCATTGATGGTAGTGTGAAGTAATGTTGCTCCTATAAATGAAGAGCTTGGTTTAGGTCTTTTAAAACACCTGCACTAAAAGTGTCTCTAAAGGTAGAGGCTGTTCTTTCTGTAATTAGTAACAGTTTAGTGATTTTTAAAACCAGTTTTATTTTTAATGAAGGATGTAATCTATGCTTATAATACTGATAATAAGGCATTTTATTTCTTAGTACTTCACATTTGTAAGACTAGATCTCAAAATGCTATAAAGAAAAAGTTAAAACAGACAAAAGCACAAACAGTGTCATATATAAACAATTTCAATAAAACAAATGGAGTGAAACAACAATAAAAAAAAATTAATATACTGAGCGCACCATAGAATATTAATGGTAGCCCTTGATTAATAGGAATGTTTAAAGGGCTTATTTCCTCCTTCCTGCTTGGATCTGCCTTCCTCTTTTTACATGAAGTATTCTTTACATCTGAGCACATTCACATTCTGCGCCTTATGTTAGATCTGAATATTTAAGGTTCTCTTAAAAAAACAATACAAAAAAAAACAGACTCTCACCCAAACAGGAAGTAAATTGTTCACCCCGAATTTCTTTGAGCGCTTTACAAATGATGAAAGTTTCTTTAGTTTATCAATAAAATGTTGCCCACGTTCAGACCTGTGTTTTTATCATACAAATTTCTATAATTAGGTCCTTTACAGTTGCTTTTTGTATCTCTGCTTCTGTCTCCTTGAACCCCAGTCGGCCTCGGCAGATGCCTGGTTCCACTGGAGGTTTTTGCTGTTGAAAGGGTGTTTTTCCTCTCCACTGTCGCTGCAAGCATGCTTAGTGTGAGGGATTGCCTTCGATTCAATGAGTCG